GTACGTGTACGCGTTATTACTATTATTATTATTTTCTTTTACTTTTTACAATAAATACCTTTACCGTTCCACCGCCGGTCATACATATGAGTTGCAGTGCGCAATATGTGTGTGCATGTGAGTACGCGGCAATACAACATTCCTGTCCCGTGTCTTTCCCGCAGAGGCGTGAATTCTTTTGAAAAACCTCTTTGCTATAATATACACGCACACTGCAATCCGGGTAATGTAATCGCGTTGTCCTTCTGTGTGCTCGCCGAACGGTGTTAATATAAAGAGGGGTGGAGGTGGACGATAGCCAGTGCAAAACACTATACTTACTCTTGTGTGTTTATTAAATGCGTATAATAATAAAAAGTGGTTTAAATGCACGTAAAATATATACAATAAGTCTCGTCTGTATAAATTATTTTGTTCCACTTTTCTCCGAAATTCAGTGGCACGCACAAAGGGGTGCGTGGGTGTCAGCTGACACCCGTATAAAATAATGAGTGGCTCATGCTATGGCAGTGGTTGCGGTGGTGGTGCTGGTAGCAAAGATCACCCGAGCCGGAGATAAAAAAATGTATTATTTAAACGTCGTTACATCAAAATAATTCAAAATGCAAACGACATGATCGACATGCAGTAAAACAATAAATAATCGTACATGATAAAATAGTTATACACTACCTAAATATTAACTTGATGTATAATGTTGTAAGTTTTTTTTATTGTAATTGGTTACATTAAGAAAAAATATCTTAATATTTAATTGATTTATCTAAATCATTTTACGAAACAACATTTAGTGTGAATGATTATGATTACAATAGAAAAATAAATGTTCGAAACAATACAATAACCTAGATATTTGAAGCCGCTAAATGTTAAGGGGAAATTGTTAATCGTATCAATCAATATACTACACTTAAACAATTTAAGAATATTTTTTAAGAATCCCAATTAGTGTGTGTAAAATGTTCAGACTAAAAAGTCAAATGCATTTATTCACGTCAAGAGGTTTTTAGTATCACTGACCATAATACTTTTGTTTTTTCTACCATTCTCAGTATAAAGGTTTTACATTATAATATTATTATGCTATTACGCATGTGATGGGAACCGTTTGCGATACCGTCTTAGTAAGCGTTTTGCAGACACCTATTTTATCGCACCGCGGCGGTCGTTTTATCGTTGAGTATATTATTATTTTCCACGGAGTCGCAATTCGGCGGACGGGTCGGTCAAATTTCATTTAGAACAGATAAATTTGATGTTTTAAACGGCGAAAAGATCGTTTATTTATTCACACGTTTTGATTTTTATTTTCTTGTCGTCACGTAACGGATTGCAGTGCGTTTCTCAGACGACGTATATCGTGGCGACCATCGTATTAAACACTATACACTATTATATTATACAGCATTCGTTTGTACCACGGCGTGACGTGTTTAGTGTTTACTGTTTTTTTTTTTTTTTTTTTTGTCAACACCCTAAGGACACGCGTAGATTTACAACGTCTCCGTCGTTAAGAAGAAATTATTATAACTTATACGTGTTATGACCGCAGTTTGGTTCCTATAAAATAAATATAATATTATACAGAGTGATTCACCAAACATAATGTTCACTCATTTATCCATGTAATAATAAATTTGATCATATTCTAAGTTTTTTTAATATACTCGTACTTAAAGACCGTGAAAAGTGGCGAATGGTGATATGTACTTCTGTTTTGAAAATAAGACCTTCCCTCCCATTTTACTGCATATTATTAAGTGAATACATTTTTAAACATTTTAATATACCCAAATCAAAATTCAAACGAGTAGAAGTTATTAAAACGTTTATATTAAGGATACAAATCATTAACAATGGTTTTACAAAAATATAAAATAATTGTAATATTATAAATTTATATTGTTATACTTGAAACAACTTTAAAAACTATAAGATAGATTAATATAGATAACTAAAATTTTTAAATGAATTCAGCTCTTATACATTCTAAACCAAAATCATAGACCTTGATATTTCACATGCAAAGTTTAATAACTCAAAAACTATTCATTCGGATTTTGATTTTGATACGTCAACATTTTCAAAAACATGATCTGCTAAATAATTTACTGTTTAAAGCAAAGTTGTCATTTGAAAATCAGAAATTTGAATTCCCTCAGAACAGGATTTAAATACTAAGGAAAAAATTCGAAATTTTAAAAATATGGTCCTTAAGTATTTATTTAAAAGTTTCAAAAATCAAATTCTCAATAACTACTCTTCTGAGAAGAAAAAAAGGGGTGAGCATAGCTGGTGAATCACCTTGTAACTACCCTGCAAACATAAATAAAGTATAATATTGTAACCGGCACTGCGCTTAAATAATATTACATGTTCACCGCTCTTACACTTGTCAAACGTTTGACGGCCGTCACGCTAAACGAAATCAGTAATTTACACGAGTTCGTGCGCGTGCTTGCTCATCGTCTGTTGTAGACGAAACGCATAAAACGCTAAACGTTTTTAACAATAATATAGTACCGCCAGTATCACGGCTATATTATATATGTACAAAATGCGACTTGAGAGTAAGTAAAACGTCGCTGCAAGTATAATATATTATTATTATACGGGCGAGAATGCGACGATAAAATATGAGGATATTATGTACTGTATAGACTATAGAGACTCACGTGTAAACCAGTTTTCAGATCTCTGTGTCCTATATTATTCTTTTTTTTTTTTGTAAGAAAATAACAAAACGCAATGGTTCTATATATGTATACGAGTATAGGAGTCATACCTATAATATTATTATCAACGAATCGACAACTCGTAAATCGTATTTATAATTTCCTTACAACTGTTGCACTAGAATATTACAATGTAATTGAGAGACGGACGTTCAACTGTTGAAGAGTATAAGAAGAAGAAGTGGACGACTATGTACTCATACGGGGATGATTGGGAGAAGGTGGTTAACTTCATAATTATTATTATACCGAATTACGTTCAATTGTCAAATAATAAATAAATATTATTATACTGCTGTTGAAATAAAATATTATGAATGTCATCTTTAACCTGTATCGTCATCTACTGGAATTCAATTGCTAACAGTCTTACAGGAATTTATTATACAAGTATCTAGGGATAATTGTGTCGAGTGTTGCCCGATCGTGTCCTGAAATAACCTTTTTTGCTTTTTCAAATCCCATTTGCGACCTGTACAAAATAGGTAAGAAATACTGTTTTTCAGTGGTTATTAAAACTAAATAAGTATCCTGATTGTGTATTTGTATCTTGCATACTTGAATATAAATATAATACGAATCTCATTCATAAGAGCTTATTATATTTAACGCAAATAGTGCTTTCTAATAATTCATCAAAGATAAAAAATACAATAAACTGTAAGATTGCAGACAAAAAAAATATAAAATTTCGAGTTTATAAAAACGAATTTATAACATTAGAAAATTTTATTTTTTTTTTGTGCTTATACCGTTTATTAATCTACGTTTTATGTACATTGTACTCGTATTGTATTTAACTTATTATATAACTTATTTGACTATGTATAAATGTATAATATATATATATATATATATATATACCATTAAGAGATTTAAATATATAAGTGACTTGTACCATGAAAATACATTTTTAATACACTTATTATACTATTATAGTATTATGAATTGACAATTAATTGTCTTAACAAAAAATTGATATTTGTGAATGTTTAAAGGTGTATAAAATAATTAAACTTAAGTAAATTTTTATAAAGATTTTATTTATACTATATCTATTTTATTTTATTGTAAATAAATTATTTTGGAAACCAATTGGTATTCGGTTGCAATCAGGATACTTGTCTTATATTTGGGACACAATAAGCTACCTGAATTCGGGCGGAAATCAAGGATCACCGATTATAGCCACAAAGAGCGAAAAAAGGTCTCTTCCTCAGACGCTAGAGTTGTCGTGTGAATACAAACAACGATTATTATGATATTAACCTAATTGTTTATTTTATTGAAAATCATTTTATATAGGTTCAAAGATACTAAATACCAATTCAAAACTTAGAAATACAGTATGCATAAACGACAGGAAGACAATATGTCCGTTGTAACAAAAAAATATATAATGAGTGGCAATCAGCCAGCCGTTAAACAATATGAATTTAAAATAAGTTAAAAATTATTTAGTATAGCATTTTTAGACTATAATATCATTATTTAATTTGTCATGAGATGCAGTATCCATGTAATCGTTTCACTTCACACGTGTGACCGAATTAGCGAATAGTAATGGCATGGATATAAGTTTTATCGGACGTTAGTTGAACATAACAGGTATAATACAAACTTATTTACGTGTATTATATTAGGTGTGCCCGTGAATAAAAGTGAGACGGAGCAATAGATAGGTAGCTACTAACTAGTCATTTAAATTGTTATATTTTGCAAGATAATTATTCAATAAATGAATAAAAAAAAAAAATTACATTTAATCATAATAGTTAGGTATTTATATATATAAAAAAAATTCAATTTCTTTTTGGTGAAACAAAATCCTTGTATAAATCTATCTTTAAAATACAAATTTTAAAAATTATAATTTTATCAGTGCATCCCTAAATTTTGGTAGGTGATTTTAAGTCCTTAGTTATTATAGTTAAAACAGCACGTTGATTAATCATTTGATATAGGTGCATCTAGTTTTTATTGTGTTGATAATAAAATCATCTAGAAATGTTAAACTAAATCTGTGTATGAATATTTTTTTTTTAAGTTTCGTGAAGGTTGATCCAGCAGGAGGAGATGGCAATAACAAACTGTGTCAAACTAGGAGGGAAATAAAATCAGCTGCAACCACTCTTTGCTCCACCAAATAATATATTTTTTTAGTTAACTTTTTTAGGACTATTTATTTCAGTCATTTCCATTATTAATAGTGAATATAATTCTACAATAATTTCTACAATAATATAATACATTGTTGTTAAATACCTGTGCGGTATAGGCTGATGGAACGCGCCCATGCTGGACGTTGACGGGCTTGACGTGGCGGGCGGTATGAGGCTGGGATTCCATATGCACGATCCCCTGGCGTCCGGGGGCGGCGGCGGGGCCGCAGCGGCCGACAGTGGGAACTGCAGGGACAGCCCGACGGAGTAGTCGAACGGATTTGGATACAGCATACTGGTCTCCTTGTCAGGCATGCCGGAAGACACCGCCGCGGCGATGGTGCTGCGGGCGGATGTGATTTGGACCCGAACGGCTAAACGCCGTTGACCGTACGACGGCCATACACGCGTTAAACTTGAGGTGCTGTGGACGGGATGAGTGTGTCACCGTTGTGGTCGTCGTCACCCGTGCGATGTTGTACAGGTAGGTAGGAGGCACTGCTGATACCTGTGGAGAGAGGCAGAAAAAAAGAGATTGAAATGCGGGTTTCGTGGAGAGGCGTTATTCGGGGCAAAAACGTGTCGGGGTCGCGTTATTATTGTATTTTTTTTTCTATCGGACTCTCAACACAACTGGCACAATGCACATCCATCAGGGCCCCGTCGAGGGGGTGGACGTTAAAATATATCGACGGTCTTTTATAAATACCACGCGTATATCAAATCGCTGTGTAATATACGTATATTATGTAGTTATAGTACCCTAAACGTCTTGAACTCGTATTTTATATTATACACGATATATAATGTGTTTGTATGTTATAAAACGTATAGAGTTAGGCGGGTAAGTTACGGTTATATTATATTGTAAACTGTGTTGTATAGAGGTAGAGACAGGACATACCTATAGGTATGTCGCGGTCGTAAAATAGGACGTATAATAATATAATAATAATATGAAATATGTGTATGTATATTGTACATGCGTGTGGAACTAATAATATTATAATATGCTACTAATAAAGTCATTGCCGCCGCCGAAAACGTAAATGTAATTAAGGCGCCATGTGCTCGCGCGATCAATTGTGGTGAATTCCTATCGTACGTCGTTTCTTTATTTTTTCTTCTCAGTCGGAGCCATCTTCGATTTTTTTTTTTATCATTATTATTTATTCGAATCCGAACAATACACTGCGTCGTCTTCGTCGGTTTCTATCTGTTAGAACACAAACACACACACGCGCGCATTATACTATTGGTCCGGCTCCGGATGCGCGTTTGTATTCGTTATATTATTATTATTATGTAGGTATACACACTACCCGGTGCGCGAGTTTCCTTTTGTTTCTTTGGCATAGTTGAAATTCGACTGCTGGCAACAATAATAATAATAAATAATAATAATAATAATAATATATCTTGCGCCTATATCTGTGTCTCTATCACACGCACGCATCACGTCTATCTCTCGGCGCGTATCGTATAATCTCGTATTATGTAGACTCGTCGTCGGATAGGTCGGATATTATAATCCGCCTATAATTTGAAACTTAGGCGTATGATTACACGGTGGGTGTTTTTCGTTTGTGAGGTAGGTATATACCGTGTAGTGGGTACCTATATATACGCACGAGTATTAACGCTGCACATACGTCGTATGTAGGTACCTCGATCTGCGGCGGGCTCTCTCCTTCGGGGCCGATCGACGGAGACGATGATCGCGACGACGATGATGACTTTATCAGCGGTGAGAGGATGAGCAGTTGTGTTATGTATGTAAGCAAGTGCATCTGTGCGTGTGTGTGTGTGTGTGTGTGTGTGTGCGTGCGTCTACGCGCGCGCGCAAGGCAGTTCGTTGCACCGCCGCCGCTGTTGTTGTTGCGTAGTAATGTATATACACACAGACATACGCACGCGCACGAGAGACCGAACGGAGAAGTACAAGTTAATAAAGACATTAGCGCACACGGCCGTTGTTATGTGCTTATGTATGTGTGTGTGTGTGTGTGTGTGTGTGTGTTGGTGAGTACGCGCGCGCGTTAGGGTTAGACCTTGAACATCCTCCGTCGGCTCAGCCTCCACGAATTCTTGTACATTATCATATGCGTTTCCTCTATATTACGTTATATAGGTATATAGGTGTACGCGTTGTGTACCTTTAGTTGTTGTTTTCATTTTTTTTTTTTTTTTTACTACCCTATTTTTTTTTCTTATTAACGGCTCGGGTCGGTTTTTATTTTTATTATTACGTGTTATTAGGTTCGGTGCATATCACAACGATAATATAATATATTATAATGTAACGCAGTCAGACGTGCTGTACGTCACGCTGCAGCGCGGGATTGAAAAACGATATTTTTCGGGATAGTTACATTTTTTTTTTTTTTATTATAACGGTTAACTTCGGTAACTTAAAATACTGTCGATAATCGTATGGCGCGCGCATCTGATGATTTCGTTATCTCAAGTCTTAAATTAAAAATATTTCTTCTCCGCCATAATATATGTACTTATAATATGAAAAAAAATACTTATCCACGCGCATCGTCTAAGCGATTAATACAATATTTTCATAGAGGTTAGATATATAGGCGATGCACATTTTTTTTTCGAAACAATCAAACCAATATGACGTGTTATTTTCGTATAAAGTATTCGCATTATATTTTACATACAGCTTCGTAGGATTCCAAAAGATTATTTCATAAATTTAAGTGTGAATATTTTGTGGTTAACAATTAATCTTTTCTTCACTAAAAGATGTCATAAAAAAAGATTCTAATTTACAAGCGCAAATAGTTGCTCCGGACGATAGTGTATACTAAATAACATTTTAAATCCTACGAAACGGGTCGTTTATAAGTTATTACAACGAGTACGTAAAAATATCATAAATTATTGTTATTATTTGTATTCTCGAGACATTCTGAGCCGAAAGGGATAAACGATTGTCATCGTCTTTAAACTTATGCAGTTAATAATGTATACGCTCACCACTCTTGTTTATAAAAATAATAACGGCGTTTTTTTCCTATATTATGCTACTATATTATACGGTGCTAAGACGCTTGAGTGTATATTCAACAAACTTGCCGATAACGAGGATCGTCTCAATTAGTCAATTAGCCACTCTATACCTATATTATACACATAATATATAAGTAGTATATTATACGCTAACATTATAAACACGTTGCGTGTGCGAGTGTATAGTAATTATTATTGCTATAATTTATTGTATCATAATATCGCATAAAAAGTGGATATTATGGTCGAGTCGAATCGATGTGCGTGTTTTGCGGCGCATTTATAAAAAGATTTTTTTTACTAGCACGAAAGTATAGTTTAAAAATTAATCTAAGTACTAGACGATACAATTGGCTGCTGCAGTGGTGATGGCGGTTAACTGCGCGTAAATGGTTTAACGTTCGATATTATTATTTATATTGTATAAATGTATAATGCACAACGCACGTAGGTACACGATACAGATGTATATTATTAATTTTTTTATCATTATCTCAGTATTTATCATTATTTACAAAGTACGGAGTGCGCCAAACATTACAAGTTAATATGTATTTATTATTATGATTTAATAAGAGTTATTTATTTCTGTTACTGTTGCACTGCTGCACTATATAATAGTACAATTATACAATATGATAATTGCAACCGTGAAACTGCACACGCTACTACATTATAATAATTAAATTAAATATTACTGACTTGCAACTAAATTTATTATATAATTATACTTAACAGTAATGATATAATAAACAACAATGGTGATATTTCTTCAAATTATGCAAATCTAACATCAATAATAACACACATGAGTGGGTATCTATTTACTTGGTAGTGGGTAATATAATGTTATTATAATATTACATATTATTATGTTTATCGTTTAATGGACATTGTTTGAGCATAAGAAAACGCATATTATTATCGCGTGATTGTATTATCGATCTATCGAACTAGAAATGTGAATTCGTCTGCAATACACGAAAGACCACGACTATATTAAACAACTAGAAACTACACTAGTTCGTAACGCATAATAATAATAATAATATTATATCGTCTAAAACGTTGCGCGGTATACTTTAATTTCGATATAATATTAAAATGTCTAAGGAGATACGACGATGTTATAAATTATGATAATAGTATTCAAATCTGAGAGTGTTTTCCGGTTCGTCGCGCATACCCCCATCTATTTACATGTTATACCATCGTCATCAGTGAGTTTGTACAACGTCAATAATCAATATCCTATTTTGATTGGTGTGAACTAAGTACTGTAGTATAACAGATCGTCAGATAGACAAAGGAGAAATATAAGCATTTAACTGTACGCCGTTAATTATTACGGATTTTTATACTACTACGTTTAGAGTAATGGGAATCGAATAATATAATATACTATTATAAAACTATAATAACATGTAAAAGACCGATAAAAAAAAAAAACCAACGAGCCACGACAGTTCTTTAAAATAATTTGTGGTAGGATTTCTTTTCGTAGGGCAACTATGACTACGATTATATTATAAATTATAATGTGGCCATTAAAAATCTGTTAAATGAAGAGCAATAGCGGTGTTTGTTGTTTCTGTAAACAACTATATTAATCCCATTCTGGGTTCTAATCTCTTGTAAGCTAAAAAGGTTCGACCAGTTAAGAGGCTACATATTACAATACATCGTTTAAGTATATTTTTATAATTCTTTTTTATTAAGATTTACAGGATTTAAATTCGATTTGTATTGAGTGACATTGTATCTTATATTTTGTGTCTGTAATACCTAGCATTATGTACTTATATCCTAAATAGTCAGAAGATTTAATTTTATTGATTCCTATTGATTTTCTAACTATTTTTTCTTTAGGTAGTCGTTTTTTCTTATTATTTAGACTGATGAAGTAGATTTTTATCATAGATTCTATGAAAAGAGCTTTTAAAAGTTAAATCTATGACTAATTATACTTTATATTTTCTGATTGCAAATAACAGTATAATAAATATATAATACAGATTATTTAAACATTTAGTTTAATTTTGTTAGTATACTCAATTAATGTATTATAATTTAAGGTAATGAAAAGTAAAATAATAAATAGATGAGTTTGATGTAAGTCACTGTACCTATATATTATATATAAAATGATAAAAATTGGTGAAAATCTATGTGTAAAACTACGGTGACACTCTGAAAAAAAAAAGGTAATGTTACTTACATTTTATATGTCAAAACACAAAATCTAATCCTTTAAATTCGAGATAAGAAATAAGAAATATTTCATATGCCTATTATGATTTCAATGCATCAATACATTTTCGTGTATTATACTTCAAATCCATTGAAAAAGATTTTCATGGAAGTTAAGGATTAAAGTTATATAAAGGAATAAAATACTAAGAAGTAGGTATATTAAGAGTAAAATATATCATTGTATATAGGCCATGACAAAATACAAAATCTAACCCATCGGCCATCAAACCCATTGCAGGTAAAATATTGTTTTTAACAAAAGAAAAGGACGATAGAAATAATAATAATGGTATATAATGAAAACATTTTCTTTTTCTGACAATTCAAAATCAAAAGTGCCAATTTGTATTTATTTATGTCGAAGTGCGTACAGACAAAAATATTTTTATACAGTTTTATACAGTAGAGTTTTAAATATAGCGTACCTAAATGGGTTTGAACAGTTACCCATTTTTGTGCGTGTATAAAAGAGGTTAAAATTATTAAAAATCAGAAAAATATTATTTCAATCGTCTTTTAAAGAACGAAATCACTCTTGAACGATATATTTTTATTTTTCAAAAAATTCGCTTACACGTCAAAATGTGGTTTAATATTAAGTATTTGTATAAAAATGTTCGAATAAAACGAGGAAATTTAATATTTTTAAAAAAAATTTAACAGCTCCATTAAATGAGTATAATGTTTCGAATGTCGTTCCATGAAAATGACGAATGGACGATATTTGAGTGAGCCGATGCGGTCAATAATTTAAACAAGTCGGCTAAAAACAAAATAATCACGAATATAATATCCATATAGATGATCATAAAGACAACACAATATATTTAAATTCCGATTTCCGATGATTCGAACAGGCAATATTTAACAACTGATTCAAAGAATCGACGAAATCAATATTAATTTGTAATGCTAAACGGGCGAATTTGAACGGATGTATCAAATATTTTATGAAACGTGTACAATTATACATCTAAAGACGTGATCAGGCTTTATTGAAAAGGTATAGTATTAAAAAAACGCTTTTTAATTAAAATAATGAAATATACGTATTTATAATGTTTAATATTAGAACACCAACAAATTTAATGTTAGTATGCATACTATTTAGAAATATATCATTAAAAGTTGAAACTTATATAGTTTCTGAGAATAAATAATTTTAAAGTTTATAATACTGCATGTTATAGAAATGTTTTCGAAAATGACCAATAGATCGGGGTTAAAATTATCTGACAAAATGCTCGTGCATATTCGTAATATATAACTTCATTATAGAATAATCGGACGAGAGAGATTTGATCCTTTGGCTAATAAACTACTCGTATTAATTCAATGCGTATATTTAAACGTGAAAACTGAAAGATTTCATTTGAAAATACGTAAAAAAAAAAATTTAAAAAATAAATAATATTTAAAGATAAAATTACATTGTGTTTGCAGTTGACGTTGACGTTGTATCTACGTGAGATCGTGTAGGTGAACGATGAAAATTATAATAATCGTCATCTATTGAGACATACTATTATTATAATTATTATTGTATTAGCCAGTAGGTACTAATGTTTATAGAAACTACTACAGAGTTTAGTTTATGGTCATAACTAATGGCTAATTGCATGTTATTGTTTTCAAGTATGGAACGAAAAAGAGTATAATATTTAATCATTTTAGTAAAAAAAAAAAAAAAACGATTTCCATACAACTTTAGAAGTATTAATAACACAATAGTTTTAAATGCATTCAATACTCGACATAACATTTTCAAAATAAAATGAATGAATCATATTTTTTGTATTATGCATTTTAATTTTAATTAGGTAAAATATTTATTATTAGACGAAATATTGATACATTGAAAATTAGGTACTATTAAACACTAGTAAATATGAGACGTTAACAAAAATGTAATTATATTCCGATTTCATAGATTTTAATTTGAAAAAGAATTACTTTTATGAAACTCCATTATCTATAATTGTTTTTCGATAAAATAATACATTATACGTTACTAATTAATTGATTTTTAGATTCGGGCGTTACATTATAATAAAACCACAATTTTTTTCATATGAGATCTACATTGATTAATGAAATAGCGCGTGTGCAACAGATTATTATATAATTCATTCTACTGTATAATGTAAATCGTCTGAAATATCCAAACGTTCGTCATAACACTCATAACCTAAACTATAGTTATAACTTTTCGTATAACGTGGTAAAACCATTAGAAATGTATCCATTAATCAATAATGTTTTATACGGGTAAGTTATTGCATGTAAATGATATCTTTGACATGTTTGTAAATATTTTTAATCGATGGAAAACATCATGTGGTCAAATAAGCATTAATAAACAATTGAGACATGAAAGTATACTTGATATTATGGCATTATGTTGTAGTAAAAGTTATTATTTAAGCGCAAAAAAAAATTGACGAAACTAATTATACATAAGATTTATAAAGATCAATAGTAATAGCTTTTATTTATGATTTACTTCATAAATAAAATTGTACGTCGAAAAATAAAATTAGTTATGATAGCTGTGATACTTAATACCAAATTAAAATAAAAGGTTTAAATCCATTTAAAATAATTAAACAACGAGATTTTCGTGTATAAAATGATCCATATAAATTATTAATCCATAACAAAATTAATAATATATACGAAAATTAAATAAAATTGTGGAACTACAATAACAAACTACAAAAATATTTATTAATTAAGTTTTGTATAACGTTTATGCAAAATGAACAAATTATTTTCTGTATATTATTCTATGATGATTAAAGCTGTACGATTGCAAATTATTGAATTTTTTTTTTTTGATTTTATTTATTGAACATTTTATTTTTTATTGTATAAAATTTAAATTATAGGTATAACAATGAAATCAATTTTGAAACTTTCTTCATGCATACTTTTACATTTTTAATTTTTAAAGTCATATTTTTTCTTTTAAAATATATTTTATGTTATTTTTAACAATGTTAATCAACTAACAGTTTTTACACATTTATTCCATTCTTTTAATTTTACTTAGATATTGTTAACTAATTACTTAAATAAATACATTTTATGATTTTATAATATAACTTTTATAAATATTTTGAAGTATATAAGTATTTATTTAATATAAAAATTAAATGTGTTTTATTTTTAGTAAATATGAGCATAAAAATATTTATTTTTTTATTTTTAATATGGCAAAAAAAAATATGTTTTTAAAATTTTGATTTTTAGGTAGTTTTTAGAAATATCAAATGAATATTTAACTAATTTTATTTTATTTTAAATGCATTTTTCAAGAATTTATAGTGCATTCAATTTACAGCCGTGAGAGTTTAAGGTTAAAAGTGATTTTATGTTTAAATTTATACACTTATATCATAGTTTTTGTATACATTCAAAAATATCGGATACTCTTTATATGACTATATAAAAACAACATTTTTGGAAATTCAAGAGACAGTGGTTATAAAATATTTGAAATCGCAGAGACTCATTTTAATTCAGCCGATGAGAAAATTATATCAATATTATTAACATCGTTCAAATTGTTTTTCCATATTTAAAAACCATTTTATAGTAACGAATGTAATGTATTATGCACATATTATTCTTATATTTTGTGTACCATAATATTTTAACGTTCAAACGTACGTAACATTAACATCATATTACATTATTATGGTAAACCGCCGGCCATCTAATAAGCGACTTCATATTGGAATTACGCGCGTACCGTGCGCTGACATAATAATGTGATATTATATAAAATAACGTAAGATAGTAATAGTAGGTACTCACCGATTATTCCAAAGGCGACGCGTATAAAAAGGATTCAATCCAGACGGGGTTAAAAACGTTCTGCCGACGGTAAAATCACTGATCCGTAGATTAAGAATTCAAAACACAGTCCCGAGAATAATACAAATTAAGATTATCGTATTTTTGTACGGGCGCACTTGTTCACCACTGTTATCGCGGGTAGGTCAACACAATATAATATTATAAATTATACTTTTGAAACAAAAATAAATCACTTTTCAAAGCTAATAGGAATTAAATTTAAAATATATATATATATGAAAAAAGAAAAAGAAAACAATAATAATAACTATTATTGTAATCCACCTGTCGGAGAACAGCGGAAAAATTTATGCGGTCGTCGAATCCTTTCAAACGTCGGAAACGTTGTGCCGTCGTCAAGATTTATTCATTTGCAAGAAGAAAAACATATGAACAATAATAATAATAATAATTGTAATATTATTATTATAATATCAAATGCGACGCAGTGGTCGGCGGCGGACCTTTTAATATTATTACAACCACGAAGAGATAATAATATTATACGCGGACACGCACACGAAAACGGAAATAGCACAAAACACACACACGCGCTCGCGTACCGTAACGATCATCAGCCGAGATCCGAGTGCAGTCTCGACCGCCGCCGAACATCCCGGCAACACGAGCGCCGCCGCGGCCACTCCTCCTTCGAAACGGGATGACTATAGGAGCGCACGTTGCCCGCCGCCGCCGCCGCCGCCGGTTGACAGCTCCATAACGACTCATTTAACTCTCGGCTGCTCTGATAGAACGTCGACGGGTCGCCCATTATAATATACCTACTACGCGTACATTATACGGCGCGTTGTTATTATACCTGTGTCAGTACACCGTCATCACGACGATGCCTGTATAATGTTATAATATCAATAATTTATGATAATAATAATAATAATAATAATAATAATATGATAACGTTAGATGATTATGTTATTATATCTTGTTTGTAATTATAACTCATTTGATTTCGGGTTTCAGCGGTCCGGGGCCCGCAGTCGTTTTTAATAAAATAATATAACGCCATAATTTAATAATATTATATAGTTATTTATTACTGTCGTCGTTATTATTTATTGTTATCATCGTCATTATGTATGGGGGGGAACCTTAGGGCTAGACAACGAATTTCTGTGTGCAATTAGGAAAATTCAAAATTATGTAAATGGGTATTTTTATCGTATACTATATTTTTTTTAATGTGTGTATTTATTAACATGACCAAAAATCTATGTTTTTATTTTTAATTTCTAATTTTTTATTATTATTATTATTATTCTCTATGATATTTACAGCTTGTACTTTTTTTTTTCTAGAACAGTAACCAAAATTGACAAGTGGAGATACAAATGAAATTTTTGAAGGAAGAAGCCGCTCAATAAAGTGCATTATACTACCTGTTTCGATGCTTTTAAATGGTAAACTTATGAAATCAATTTAATTATCATTATGTAGATCGCGGCACCGTCTTTGCTTTTAAACGTCTTGGAGGATTCCCTTAAATGGATAAGATTGATGATTTCTTATGAGAGGGTTAGAATAGACAGGTAGTTTCTTGTGTTTGTATAGTTTGTAGATCTGTTTAGCTTTGTCCAATTCTGTCGTTATATTTTTAAATATTTATGGAGTATTTAATTAGAAACTATGGGTATGGCGTTAGTTATTTTTTCCAGGAAAATTTTTTTTAAAAGTTTGAATTTAATAAATGTTTAATTTTTTATGCACTTTTGAATTAGATACTCCAAAACTAAAGACTGTAAAAAAAAAAAAAAAATGCATACCAATCATCAAATATGCACTAAATATTTTATATAATATATTTATAGGTATATAAAATTATCATATGATAGGTATTTGATTAAATTAACTCGGTTTAACATTATTAAACAATTTAAACTTTAATGTAATATTTTACAAACTAGTATAACATAACAAACAGTACTCCATATTACTTGTGTACGAATATAAGTGGGCATGTATACATTTTTTAATTAGGTATTTAATTTTTAAAACGAATAGAGTTATAACTCTGAGCACAAACAGAATATTTCAATTTATAAAATGTTTGTATGAAAGCCAAAAACACTTAGACTTAAAATTTATGACTATATATTATTTAACCTGAACTACCATAGTCAAAACGTGTAAAACGCAACGTTTTTGTGACGATACGGTTGCTGGTTGTGAAAAAACACCGTGATGACACCAGCTAGATTCGCTCGATTTAAGGCCGGAAGTCTATTTTTGATTCCGAATAGAAAATTAGCCAAATAATAGAAATTACTTGGCATCGCGCTATAAAGAAAGCAATTTCGTATTTAAATTTTTTTTTAATTTTAAGGTAGAACGACATTGGTAGATCTGGTTGGCCTGAATTGTATGGTTTTCAGACGATTTAAGATAGATTTTTGTGAGTACAATATGCATATAAATTTATACATACATATACATAATACTTAAATTACTATATATTTTTAGAATAAAAATATTGGTCAAAGAAATATAACCATACATGCCGCGAGAGTTAAAATTATTTTAACGCGCATAATATAAAAAGTTTATTTACTAGATGATAGTTATAATACTATTCTTTTAATTAAATAAACAAAAATTACGATCCTCAGAAGATTTATCAAACAATATTGTATTCAACACTGAAATGTTTTATTTGTTTAGAAAAAAAAATATCAAAGTTCGAGCATGGCATACGCGTGCAGTGTTTAAAATGGGTTATAACATGAAGTGGTGATATTGCACTTATATATATTATATACATATAATATAATATACTCTTATAGTCATATCGTATTTCTTTTAAAACAGATATCTTTATTATTAGTATTAATACCAGATAATAAAATGAATGTATATTTATTTCAATAGCAGGCTTTTCACGCAAACCTAAATACAATATCTTACGAGTGGTTTTTATTTTAACTTATTGAAGTACTAAACGCAATCGTTTGTTTATACATTACCTAAGTTATTATAATATTATTGTGCATTATGTTTAACTTTCTGCATTATAAATATTGTTCTATTTATACGCTTAAATGTACACATTATCCGAAATCATTGTCATAAACCATATTATAATGATAATATAAGTTTATAGTGATGAGTTAGCATATAATAATCCTAATTTTTTTCTGGTTACGCCTTAAATATTAGGTATAGTTAAAATTGCTCAATACTTCGGACGATTTATAAATAATATTAATAATATTTTTATTACTATAATTATTAGATATTGCAGTGTAAATAAACTGAATATTTTAATTTTCTGAAAGCAATATAATTGTTATGGGTTTTTGCTTCAAGCTCTACTGTTATTATTCACCAGCTACGTACACAAACACAATATTATATTCATTATGGCACTGCAGTCTATAATCATACATAATATAATAATAATATAGTGATAATCTGATAATCGTACGGATGTGTGATCAAGTAAGCAGTATACATACATCTATAGTCAAATAAACTTAATGAACTATAAAACTATAAAAGAAAAGAACTTTTGTCTATTTGAGTAGATATTCATAAATTGTGACAAAATACTATACAACTGTTCAATAAAATTTAAAATATAACATAAGTACTCCGAGTGTCATTAATTATTAGTTAATTTCATAGTACATAAATTGAAATTTTCTAAATATTTGTAAAATAAATTATTATTGATATAATATTTTAAATTTTTTAGAGTTGTAAATATGGTTATATACAACTATATTGTACCTATAGGTTAGGGTTAATATACATAAATTTTTATAAAAAAAGAATTTTTGTAATAAAATGTGTAATTCGTTAGTCACTGCAGTACGCTTGTGTATGATTAATATAATTAAGAAATATACATAAAGGTTTTCTGGATCAATAAATTAGGTCAGGAACCAATTTTTTTTTTTTTTATCACTTTTATCGCAGACGGATAATCCACCAAGACGTCGACAACATTGGAATTCGGATCCGCAGCCACAATAGTTATAATATTATTGCAGAAGTTACGTCAGAAAAAATAAAAAAGGAAAATTATATGGCACAGGTTACACCTTCACGTCAGGAAGAATCGTTACTACCTATTTATTATAAACATGCGGTGATAATGTCTGTATTACAGCGTGAACGGGTCGGCACGTATTATAATAGGTCCTGCTACACGTGCATTATATCTGTATACATATTTTATTTATAAATATACACATAATATACGACCTATGCGCACCCTATCCATACTGTTATTATTATTACCTGTAGTGAGCGTATACCAGGATGGTGGGACTACTAAAATACAATATACTTATAACGACACGACGGTGGAGATGACGGCGTATACCTGCAGTACACGGCATTGTAGGGCTAGCCGGGTCGAAAATCGGTTTGAGCCGGTCTTTAAACAATTTTTCTCTTCCAAAATCGGATTCAAAATCGATCGGGGCGGTTACCCCCTGGCTCGAACAATTGCCTATGGGGGTGTGATGGCGGCGGCATTTCGGCAGCTACAGTAAAGGTGGGAGGATCAGGGTGTGTGAGCATGTGTATATTATACAGAGGTGAAAAAAACAACACACACACACATATTATATAGGTACACGAGTATTATACGTATACACGCAGGTTACGGTGTGTAAGGGCAATTGGCGGCAGTGGCGGAGAACGATAATGATGTTTTCTACGCTGCGCCGACGACGTATATACACATACATCATACATAATATTATTATTATATTCTTTCGGTGTGCCTAATCAAGGCGCACACAATAAAACGCCTCGCGTACCTACCTACATAATAATAATGTAATATGATTATTCGTCACTGCAGAGGGTGTAGGTATAACACGCACGTCGTTATGATGATAACAATAATAATACGAATGTTCGCGCTGACTGCAGTCCACCGTAAAATTGCATATGACGTATCAATTATTGTACGGTAGCAAATCGTTTGTACTTTTGTCTCTACGTGTAGTATTCTAGTAGTAAGTATAATAGTAGTAGTATAATATGTCAATATTAATAAGTATCTACAAGTTTTAAGAAAATTTATTTCAAGAGGGAATAGAGAAAGACCTACGCGGAGAATTGAGGACTTTATCTAATACAACCGTTGATTTTTGAAGATATTCCGAGTGGCGTCCGGTTTTTTAATTTTTATCTTTTTCATAGCCCGAGTACATCCTCACTCCTCAGTTCACATGCAAGAAAATTTCATACATCGAAGACAATAAAAATCAATTTTAAAATAATTGAATTTCATGACTAGATTTAAAAAAAAAAAAATGGCATTTAAATATCAGCCTATATAAATAAACTAAAAAAAAAAAAAAACCAACTAAAATATCTAGTACGCTCACTCCAATTCAAGAATGTAAGCTAAAATAAAATATATTATCATAAATAAAAATATTTTTGAGGCGTAAGTCAGCTTACCTCCTTGTGATTTACCCTGGATAACTGTAAATTAACTAGGATGTACTAGGGCTATGTCAAAAATATGGCATTTTTATCTTGGGATGCACTTGGGTAATACCTTATTTTGGACACACTCGGAACATTAAAAAAAGGGTTATTTCATGATGCATTTTGGAA